TCAAAGATACTTACCAATCCATATGGTTTTCACAATGTGAATCCAAACTCATGACCATTGGCTTATCCTCAAACTCTCTATTTAACAGTAATTTTAATCAAGCACTCTCCCTTATCAAGGAGAGACTATGGGAGTCTGAGTACCTTCAGTTAGTTTCTAATGTGAATCAGACATGCTCCCCAATTCATTTCGGTATTTTTCCCTCCTTTGGTTATGGATATTCTTACTTCCAGTCCTTGGTGAACCCCTCTATTAGGAGGGCCTTTATGTTAGCCCGACTGAATATCTTCCCTTCAGAGGTGCTTAAAGGACGATATACCCGGGTGCCTTTTGAACAAAGAATTTGCAATTTCTGCGGTCTAGAACCAGATTCAGTCACACACATCCTTTGTCACTGCCCTGAGTTTAAAGATATGCGTGCTTGTCTATTAGGTTCAATAATTTCAAATTTTTCTGGCCCTCCTCAGTTACTCACAGGTTTCCTCCTTAATGACTATTCACAAAAAATAACGGCCTTAGTAGCCGAGTTTCTTACAAAGGTTCTCTCCGCCCAGGGCTCTAAAAATTAACTAGACTACTCCAAAGTATCTCCTATTGTGTTTTTTGCTGTTGTTGTTGTTGTTTTTTTAGCCGTGTAACTACCATTATGTGTATCTCTATTTGCTATTAATTTTCCAGTATAAGTTTTTTTTTAAGTTTCCTATGCCAATAAAGGTTACCGAATTGAAATAAATATAAATCAATACATAATTAGGGAATTAAAACAAATGGCAATAAAGGTAAAAAGAGTGATGGAGAGGATGGCAAAAAGAATGGTAAAAAGGGAGGGCGAGATCCTAGTGCTCTGGGAAAGCCTGGTGGAAGAGCCAGGTCTTCAGTGCTCTTTTGAAACCATCCAGCGAGGGTGCCAGGCGGATCTCAATAGGTAGGTTGTTCCATAGGCGGGGCGGGGGGGCAACCACTGAGAAGCCCTGGTTTCCTGTTCAGAAGAATCTATCGGAAGAATCTGAATTTATCAGAAGAATCTGAAAGATAAGCTAGATAACCCAAATTAGTTATATTCCTTGAGTAGGCTATTATAAATGAATACACCAATTACACAAAAGAGATAAATTTAGCTAGTTTAATACCTGAAGATTATTTTCAACTGGATCTGTTCTATAAATAGTAAAATCTGATGCCACATAGTTAAAGCAAAGTATAAATTGTTTTAAATTTAAATTGGCTTTGTCCCATTATTCTGATATTGCCCCTTTAATGTCTGATGGTTGACCTAGTATATAGTTATATGTTTTCTGCTTTTATCTTCTAGACAGGATATTTCCTGACAGAGGAAGAATAAATATGAAAGGCAAACTTGAATAATACATCAGTAGGAGGGGCCTGTTCACAAACTTCATGTTGTACACTGGGAATTCACAACCCTACCCAAGCAAACCTTTTTGCCGGAAAAGAAAAAATTATTAAGAAATATAAAAAACTAATAGTTCCGACCAACATCATAGCCATTTCAGTCAACCAGTGTTCACAAGACAGCATTCATGCTCATATGTGCAATGGGATTTTGAAAACTATTACAGAGTAACCATAAACTGACATGCTAGTCTTAATGAGAGCAGAGCACTGATTAGATGTAAGATGTAAATTCTGTATCACCAGAATTTGTAGTAGCAATTTAATAAGGAAAGTTCCTTCTATTCTGTGTTAACTTCCAAGATGACAGAAGTTAACTCAAGTGTGCGAGGTGAGGAAATAAATTTGAACTCCCACCCCCACACTCTGCACTCTTCTCAAAGATGCACAGAAATGAAATACAGTATCAGGTTTTCCTATGACACTGAGGATACAGGTTACAGTTCTCCACGTGAGGAGAATGATAGCAGATGTTGGCAGGGCAAATGAGCTCCCTTCTACATTAAGGTTCTTTCCCAAATGCCCATTTAGAGCTCGCTTATGCTTAATTTCAAGATTCCACTTGAAGTGATACAATGAAAACTTGTGTCACGTGAGTCAACATTCACACGGCAGGGTTGTCTTTCGTTTTGATCACTGAAATATCCCACACATATTGCAGTGCACACTAAAAACTCAATTGAAAAACTGCCCTCCTAAGGGCTACATCTGTTATAGCACTATTTTATTAGAATTTAGAGAAAAAGAGAGCATTGAAGTACAGTATTAAAAAGTGCATTTTATTTGAAATTATTTGGGTATCCGAACAGAGAAATGTCCACCACTGTCTTCATAAAAAGTCACATATATTCCATGGCAATGGATACCATAAAACATCTGTAAAGGGGCACAGAGGTAGGAACGGGAAAAGGAGATGTTAAAAGCAGAAGCTGATTCTTTCTTAAATGGGAAAAAAGGCAGTTCTGGTTCACCATCAGGCCTTGCGCAAAAGGGTCTTCGGACTAGTCCTTTCATGAAGGCGAATACAGTTTCAAATTTCCATTCATCATCGTTCATGTTTGCTGTTTAAGTCACTGCATTCCACCATCACTCCATTTCCATTTCGAATCATATCCTTTCTATTCCAGTCCTTCTCTGTGTAAAATTCAGCTAGTACCGGGCAGTGGCTTGATGCTACTCCACCCCATGACCAGTTATCAGGGATCCAGGGGTTTGTAAGACCTTCTCTTACAACTGCCCAATGACCTGTATAAACAAGTTTGCAAAGCATTAATGTTGGGGGAGGGGAAATCTACGTACTATATTGCTAACACAAAAGCAAGCATTTGCTTTCTGGTGCAGGGTCTGGAAAATGAATGCAATGTTTCAGAGTTTTGAATTTTTTGTTAATTTCCTCTATTTGTACAGCAGATGTGTAGAGATCCATAGAGCAGAATAGCTTCAAGTTCCCCAGAGCAGACCACCCCTTTTCCTCATTAACGTGGACTTAACAGTGTCAATAACTCACTCTGGGACATTAGTAGGAGAAAGAACTAAAACTATTTTCTTAACTTACAGTTGTGAACTGATAAATAACACGACTGTTGTTCAGCAACAGATTTTAAGAGACTCACAGCTTTCAACAGACAGAAGAGAGGGAAAAGGCACAGTGGAGAGGCAGGCTTCTTTTTGAATCAGAGGCAGGGAAAGAACTATTGATTAGTGCTGTTAGTAAGCGACAATCACCCCAGCCCAGAAAGGTCCCTCCCAGCCATACCTACTAGAGGTAGCATGCGAGGTTGCAAAAATTCCAACATGCATTACTCTTAATTGGTTAAAATATTCAACAGTAATTTAAAATATTAATATTTTGCTTATTAAATACAAGTGACAAAGTTTTGGTTCACTTTTTTTGGTAACAATTAAAATTTCACAGTATTTTAATTTGGGAAGAGAGTCGGAGTGAGTTGACTGTTTTAATAATTCTAAACAATGTTTATAATTTAATAATTTGACAGTTATCACTTTATTAAAGAAATGAACTAATCATATAATTTTTTCTTAATGCTAACTAAATTAAAGTAACACTCTCAAGCTCTGCTGCAAAACTATTAAATCTTAAGTACAGTGGTGCCCCGCATGACCACGATAATCCGTTGCAGGAAAATTGCTGTACAGTGAAATCGTCGTCATGTGAAAAAATCCCCATTAGAATGCATGGAAAACCAGTTAATGCATTCCAATGGGGAAATACCTCATCGTCCAGCGAAGATCGCCCATAGAGAACCGCCGATCAGCTGTTTTAAATCGCTGTCTTGTGAAGCTTCTGTCCAGAAAACACCCATTTTGTGAAGGGAAGCCAGCCATATTGTGAAGGGAAGCTATTTTGCGGAGCTGGAAAAATCGTCGTTTTGCGAACAAACAGTTCGCAAAGCAAGGACCTAATCATAAAGCAGATTCGCCCCATAGGAACCATTGTTTTGCGAGCGCTATAGCGATCGCAAAAAAGTCATACTGCGGTTTCGTCATACTGCAGGGTCATCGTATTGCGGGGCACCACTGTAGTTGTCAGCCTGCTCTGTGTCCGAGCGTAATGGCAGAAAGCCTTGGATGACTGCTCAGGTCTTCTGAAGATCAGTGTAATATAAATAATGGAGTTGGAGGGACTATAGAAACAAGCATATATGTAAGAGCACCATTTGTCTGATGCTCCTGGCCAATGAAATCTTCTGCTGTAGAAACAGTACATTCTCAGCCACAATTGATGGCTGTGGAAAGAACCCATATAAAGTACAAAACAGGCTAATACAAGATAGCATGAAGTTATATTTCCACTTAATAAACAGCAGACACATTGCAGGAGAACCTCTTTGATCAAGTTACTTCTGAGCTTGTAACTGTCATAACAATAAAATACATATTCATTGAAGCCTGCTATTTTGAATTTTCATCTTCTCCTGAAAGGAAACCTTACCAGTGAAAATCTTCTTCAAGCTACGGTTTATCCAGATGTTATCAAGGGATTTGGAACCCTGAGGGTTCTTCGTGCTGATGTTGGTAAAGGTACTGGCAGGAACCAAATGGTGGAATTTTTCCTTCCGTAACAGGTCGTGGTCACTGCTGTCTGGAGCTTGGCCAAAGTCTCCTAAAATGATCACATCTTTTTCCCCTAGGGTTGGCAACAGTATTAAAAGATAGAGGATATGTGTGTTAAGCTGTGGATTGTGGAGAATGACATAAAGAAGGCCATCCAAACTCTCAGTCGTAAACCATTACTCCTTCAACTCACCAATCAGAGATTTTCAGCTCCTTAAAACAATTCTGCCCAGCTCCTGTGGCTACTTCCTAAGCAAGGAATTCCTTCCATGAACATGTATCTGATGCCACCATCTCTTCCACTAATTTCTCCTTCAAAGATATAGGTTTGCTCTTTTTCCCACGAGACTTCTAGGCATTCAGGCACATTCATGTAGTTGTTATAGTATTTGCTCACAATCACTCACCATTGGAGATAGGCATGAACTGAACTAAAAACCAAAAAACCTCCCATAATTTGGAATAGTTCATGGTTCGGTTCATAGAAACTGTTTTGCTGAAATGAAATTAGGTGCTGAACTTTTTTCCACTCAGCACTTCGTTTTGATGCCTGTCCCCTTCTCATTGCCCCATCACCTCCCTATCTCGTCCCGCCACCTTGTCCCCCTCTGCCGCTGTTGTCATCACTGTTCTGCCAGCAGTGGCACAGCCTTCAAGGAGCCTGCGTTGCTGCCTTCTGCACAGGTGCCCAGCCCCTAGGTGGTCACCCTGATCAGCTGGGAGGTGGGTGCAAGCACAGAAGGCAGCACTCAGAATCCTTAAAGGCTCTGCTGCCACCACCGCCATTGCTATTGCCACCACTGCGGCAGTGGCATAGCAGTATCACAGCAGAAGAAGGTACACCCCACCACGACCAGGCACAAACATTTCTGATTGGTTTGTAGTGGTTCATTATCAGCTATGAACCATCACGTACCATTATTTTTCAGGTTCGCGCCCATCTCTAATCACCATACACTATCCACTTGTTGCCTTTTGTTGTCTTGCCTAGTTTAGACTGCAAACAACCCTTTTTTCCTTTGGTGTATATAACCCCATTAAAGGCTACGTACCCTGAATAATAAAGTGCCACACACAATGAAAATAAAACAGTGTGGCTATTTTAGTGCTCTACACCAGTCCATGCATTCAGACAGAATGACACAACTGGCTGTGCGTTTCTTACTACGTGAACCCTCCTCTTTGTCCAAGTGCCTCCACTGGTTTTGAAAGCTGACAGTACTTTGCGAAGATATATTATCAGGCTCTGCCACCAAAGGAAATGCACTGTTGTGATGCTGTACTGACAAAGACCAGAGATTCAACATTGAAGAAGTGTCCACAGTATTTTGTGAAAGCCTAAAATGTATTTCTCCAGTACAGATGTTGACCTACTATTAAAACAGATTGATTAATAATGAATTGTTTTAGCAGACTTTATTTACTTTCTGAGTAGGAAATATTTTTAGAGTACAGTATCTGCTGTTGATGTGTCTTCTGCTATGCAAGCAACCAGCCAGCAGAGGGAACTCACACTCAATAGCAAACTTAATATCTTTGTCCGGCACAGCTTCACCAGGCATAGGACAGCTCCACCTGCAAACGACTGCAGTTCCTACTCAGAACACTACATGCTTCCTGCCCCGACTAATGGTCCTTTCTGTGCAGGGAGAAAGCAAGCACCCCTTTTTATGATACTCCATGCATGACAGATGCACCTCTCTGAGTATTGCACCTCTCTCACTGTACAATTTGCAAAAGAAAAACATGTAAATATCACAGAGGTTTTAAGTTTTATTTCCTAGATGTGTGCTGTCTTGAAAAGTAACAAGTCATCTCAAGTATTTTGCTGCTTCAAAACTGATCAAATGCCTCTCTAAAACTATTCTACTTTAAGGAACAGAAACAAGCACAAATTAATACTCAGCTAATAATCAGTAAGGCAATCGCCAGAAAATCCTAACATATTAGGACGTAACTAACATTGTAACCACAATAAACAGAGAGTGGAGCTACAGAGCAGTTTCAAAAAGGGATGAATGTGCATGTTCAACCCCAGAAATCCACGTATACCTGTTATTTCTTCTCACATTGATCCCTCTAATTCTGTTCCTGACAGTTTCCCATCCATTACATTTCTCGGAATCTTACTGGATCTTTTCCCTCCTTGTTTTCTCCACCCACTGTTCTCAAACCTTCCTTTCTTCCATACCATCCATCAGGGAAAACACTCTCTGAGCAGTTCAGAGTGAATCAAAACGTCCTTGTGATCATGCAAACAAACCCACAAAATGCGGTAAATACAATAAAAAGCCCCGTCTCTAGCTGAATCAATAACCCTCACATTTTGACACAGTTTCTTTCTAATTTATTCATTTTTTACTTTTTGTTTTTCTGATGTAGAACAAAAATACTTCACCATCCAGCAGTGGTGTAAATAATTTGGAAAGCAACATTTTTTTTTGTTCTGCTTTGACTCTGTTGACACTAGTTTCAACTTTACATTATGTGGACACTGGGATGTAAAAATGGAATCAGAGGACCAAGGAAAGGTGCATAAACGATGAGGCCTTTAGTAAAGAAGCAACCTGTGCTGATGTCAGGGGGATTTTTCTTCTCAGTAAATATGCTTCAAGACACATTGCAAATCTCCCTGAAGGTAATTTATTTTTAACTTCATATGAACCAGAAATAAATCAATACAGTACTTGCCTAATAATCAGAAAAATTACTCCAGAAGTTGTTAAAACACACACCTTTGGGACAGTGGGGGGAGATGGAATGCTAATCATATGTTTTGCTTTACATCTAGTTCTTTAAAGTAGTGCTGAGTTCAAATCAGGCCCATAGAGCACCCTATGCTTAATTCAAGGCAATAAAAGCTAGCAAAGCATCAATCGTGTCTTGTAAATCAAATAAAAGGTTACATATTTCTGTGCACTTTTTCCTGAAACTGGAGATAGATGCTGGTTCATAATGTTTTGAGTGCTGACCTTGAAAAACTGAGCTAAGTCATCTAACTTTTGTTTTAGCTTTTGTTAAACAGTAAACAAAGGGTTAGCCTCTCATCCCCCACAACTGAGGCCAGTAACAATATTAACTATGGTGAGATCATGACAGCTTCACAGGAATCTCTTTGACTAACCCGAGGGCCAGCAAAGGGGCTGGAAATTAAAAAAAAGGAACACAGCCCAAAGTTCTGGTGCATTAACAGGCAACATAGCCAGAGTCCAGACTAGTGGTATGATATACCAGATGGGCAGGATAAAAATCAAATAAATAAATAAATAAATAGTGGCAAATCTGGGAGTGTCATATTTTAACACAGTTTACATATAAAACACAGCCAGCAAGTGCCTCTGTAAAATATAAGTTCCCTCCTGGAATGAAGAGGAGAATTTTCTAAGATGACACCTGCTTGGAAAAATGCAGATACCATCAAAACATAGTGCACACTTTTTAAAAATATATTATTTTCCACACAAATTTAAACATAATTAATCAACTAATTCTTTTGATCAAAATGTATACACTGGATGCCAATGGTTCTGACATATACCTTCTGATGTTCTTACACATTCGCAAAGAAGAAGAAGCCTAGCACAAGGATAGTGTAAAGTGACTACACCGATCTGTTAAAAGTTGATGTAAATTTTAAAAATCACAATGAAGAATCTGAGTGAGCAGTTTTCATTATTTTTAACACAGCTGGCTAAAACTGAGGAAAAATGTAACCTTACCTTTCAGTGTTTCCTGGAGAGTCAGTGCAAAGGCTGATAATTTGTGGCTACTGTGGTTCTTCACAGTGTTTTCTCCCACTGAGGGCAATAGAGTCAGATGAAGATTGACCAGAGTTAGGTCATTCATTCCAACCTAGACAGGTGAAGCAATAGTAATGAAAACATGTCAGCAGTAATGCTTAATTCTTTTAGTTGCCTAGTAAATACTAATGAAATCTATTAGCAACCAAATAGGTTTGTATTGTTCAATCCCAACATTTTGTGTTGAATTATTCATTAGGAGAAGACAAACCTGTTTTGAGCACTCTTACCCTGAAATGTGCAATGTATGGTTGAGGATAATTCTGCCTTCCATTACCATTTGTCTGAGTGTTCTCATAGGAGGTGACATCCTTCAGCTCTATCCCTGCAGTCGTGTCCCACAAGAACCCAGAATACTCCACACACTGGGATGCAAAAAGGAAAAAGGTAAGCTAGTTACGGTCAGGCACTATTCATTTCAATAACAACTAACTTATTTCAGTTGGGCTCCTCTAAGCATGACTACATCTGGATTCAGTCCATATGGATCCACGTACACATATATCTTGACTGTCAATTACCAAAAGGAGCTGAACGGACTGCAGCTTTCGTCCTATTCTTGCATTATAACCTGTGCACACTCAACAAGTGAGAAATGAATCCTTCTAGCTCCACTCCTCTCTGTATCCAAGGTTGACACTCACCTGCCCTTGGGAGTGTGACAAGTCTGAGAGGGAGAGCTCCAATATCCATGGACGCTCCCCACTAGAGACAGGCACAAACTTTGATTTGTAGGTTCATGCCAGTTCGTACACACAGCGCCACAGGTGCTGCACATTCCCTTCTCCCGCTTCCCTGGCCAATTACCCACTCACCTGTCAGAGCGCACCCCTGGCAGGAGCATGGGTTTGCCTGTCCTGCCTTCCTTGTCTGAGTGAGAGATCAGCCAAGGAGGTGGAGCAGGGAAGCCCATGCTCCTGCCGGACACGAGTCAAACAGCCAAAGAGGAGCCCGTGCTGAATAGGGCTATTCTCTGACTTGAGAACTAATTAGTCATTCATGGACAGCGAGGATTACAAGAACAAAACTGCACAATTTTGAAAATGTTCAAACAGCACAATAATTACATTATATACAAAAGAAAGAGATGTGGGTTTTATTTGAAAAATAATGAATACCCACAAATGTGGTGAATAATAGATGAAGAAACAGCCAACAAAAAACCCAAACTGTATATTTATAACTGTAGTTTGTTTGTTTGTTTATTATATGCCACCCACACTACGCAAAGGTTTCTAGGCGGCTTACAACAATTAAAATACAGTAAAAAGATAGAACAATTAAAATACAATTAAAATATATGCTCTGAAAATTGCCATCAGGACCCACAGTTGATGTTATTTCAATTAAAAGCCTTCTGGAACAGGAAGGTTTTGACCTGGCGCCAAAATGTCATCAGGGTCGGTGCCAGACAAATCTCAGTCAGGAGGGCATTCCATAGTCTGGGGGCAGCTGCCGAAAAGGCCCTTCGTCTACAAGCCATCCCTCTTACCTCCTTAAGGGATGGCTCTTTCAAAAGGGCCCCCTGGCTAGATCTTAACTGCCGGGTAGGCTCATATGGAAGGAGGCAGCCCTTCAGGTATCCAGGGCCCAAGCCGTTTAGGGCTTTATATGTCAAAACAAGCTCTTTGAATTGGGCCTGTGCAGCAACTGGTAGCAAATGTAATTTAACCAGAATTGGCTTGATGTGTCCCCTAGCGGCCCCTCCACTCACCAGCCACGCAGCTTGATTCTGGACCAGTTGCAACCACTGGACCATCTTCAAAGGCAGCCCCACGTAGAGTGCATTGCAGTAGTCTATATGAGATGTTACCAGTGCGTGTGTAACTGTCATGAGACTCCCCTCATCCAGGTAGGGCCGTAGCTGGTATAGTTTCCACAGCTGAAGGAAGGCACCCCGGGCCACCGAGTCCACCTGGTCTTCCAGAGTTAGACTGGGGTCCAGGAACACCCCCCAGGCTGTGGACCCTGTCCCTTAGGGGGAGCGTAACCCCATTCAGGGCAGGGAAATGGCTCTCCAGCCTATCCAGCGAAGCACCCACTAACAGCACTTCTGTCTTGTCTGGATTGAGTTTCAATTTATTAACCCTCATCTAGTCCATTATCAGGTTCAGACACGAGTTCAGCACAGAAACCACCTCACCTGGATTAGTGGAAAATGAGGGGTAGAGCTGAGTGTCATCAGCATATTGCTGACTCCTTAGCCCAAACCGCCTGATGACCTCTCCCAGCGGTTCCATGTAGATGTTAAACAGCATGGAGGACAGTATCGAGCCCTGAGGAATTCCATGACATAAACGCCATGGGACAGAACAACTGTCCTCCAGCACCACCCTCTGGACACGGTCAGCCAGGAAGGAGTGGAACCATTGTAAAGCGGTGCCCCCAACTCCCAACCCAGCCAGCCTATCCAGAAGAACACCATGGTCGATGGGGTCGAAAGCTGCTGAGAGGTCCAGGAGTATCAACAGGGTCACACTCTCCCTGTCCCTCTTCTGGCAAATCGGCTTGAAATCCGATTGAAATGGATCCAGAAAATTTTAACCTTCCTTTTCAAAAGCTGCAAATATATGTTTTTACATACATAATGTTGTTTCAATATTCTTAAATAAATGCACTGGGAAACATAATTTTATTTAAGCAAAACTCTTTGGGTTTAATGCAATTGTTAGTCTCAATCAATGGGACTTATGTAAATGACAACTTAACCGAAGACCCACTAATTCAATGGTTCTATCGAACTGGTAATAATAATTTGGTTTAGCCTTTCATTTTCCTGGCATAAAATTTGCTGCAGTCTGACAAAAACAAAAGAAGCAAAATCAATTAAAAAGGTTCAGGAAAAGCGAGTAACAAATATAATTACATCTCTGGGTGGAGAAACAGAAAATTTACGAAAAACTCATGGTGTCTGAACGAGGATACCTTCTGTGGTTGGCCTGTAGATTTCTCTGAAACGACGGCCTTCCAACATCCCCGTGGGCCCTTCCATCGCCGGGTGTTTGGCAAAGTTGGCTGGTTCAGTTCCGTGCAGAACTGCAAAAGGATCAAAGGGTAAAAATCACTGAATAGACCTTTTTGAAGAATTTATACAAGAAAGGTGAAGGAAGTGTCTCTCTTTTTCACTCACACAAAGATCAGCCCCTGAAACTCAGTAAAGTATGTCAAAAACACTGTGCTACCATCCTGCACATTTCTGCTTATTACTGCTTTATTGTTGCTTGATGCTGCACACTCATAGGAAGCTAAGCAAATAGATACGAACAGCAAAATTAACACATAGTTTCAGGCAGGGATTTTGATGAGCTACCAGGCCAGTTACCTCAATTGGGTGCTCAACTGGGTACTTCTAAGCGTGTAACATGAAATCAAACAACTCTCCTGCTGTGTTATGAAGAACACACTGAGCTGAACACTAAAAAGATCCTGTGAAGCTCTGGGCAAGTCCCCATATAAGGGGGAGAGCAGACAGAGCATATGCTCACAGGGGTGCTCAGAGGGGTGGCAGCTTAGCGTGGACACTGAGTTTGGACAATGTGAAGTGTGTGTTGCAAGTTCAAAGTAAGAAAAATGTGTACCAGATCTCTGCCAAGAAAAAGCTAAATTCCATGATTTGTATAAGCTATGGAGATTCGCATAATTATTCCTTAATTTACATTATCTCTTCTGCTTTTACTATTTGTTATGGAGGGGGGCAATAAGCTCCCTGGCACACAATAAGCCTGGCTCTTGGCACACAAAATCTCATGGAGCACCTGTCCTGCCACATACATCCACCCTTGTCTTTTTATCCACAATTGCTACAAATATGCTTCTTTCTAAAAATTAAGTATAAAGTTCTCAGGATGTTGGATTCTATTGCCAATATCCAGAGCTTTTTTTAATTGGAGGGGGGGATATCTTCTCCTTGGGCCTGCAGAACTAAAATATACGTATCTCCTGTCATTTTTTTTTTTTTTTGTACATGAAGAAAATGTGGCAAGTGTACTATCACTCAAAAAGAAAAGAATGTAAATACAGTACATATCTAAGGTTACACCAACAGCAGAATTCAACCAAAGTTTTACACATTTCACTCATGTAAATTAGTGGAATGTTAGAAGCCTGTTTAACATTGGGGTGTGTTACTTTATTTTCTTGCTGTAGAAGTCTTAATATTTTTGAGATTATTGTTATCTTAATTTTTGTTTTCAGTTTTCAGATACAGTACTACTGCCATTTTCAAACTGCACAAACTGTTAGGCAAATGGAAACCAACAAGAGGCAACTCAATTTGCAGATATTTTAAATTAATAGGCCATTTTTTTCGATGCCAAGAAACAAAGTCATCAGGGAGAGGAAAAAGATGAAAGGCTTATTGGTGAGAGCATCAATTTTAGAAGACTTCTAAATGGTTCAGCAAAAGAACTGAATTCAAAACAGGAGAGAAGAAGAGGACACTCAGGAACCAGCCCTGATTTTCAAAGAAGTGATGCTATTTTACATCCAGTAAAACATCTGAAGGAGAATACAGAAGCAGCCTCAGCAGCTGGAACGAGCTAAATAATGCACTAACTCTTATAAAAATTTTTTTAAATATGCCCTCTCAACAGAAAGGGAAGATGGCTGGTCTCCAAGTGTTTCAGGCCCCGTTCGTGCTGATTTACAGCCCCCTTAGCCCTTTTAGAGAACTGGCTCTTGGTACTGTGCAGGAGGTGCATTGATTAGGTCGTCCTTAAAATGGTATTCTCACTATACCAAGCACAAATGGAAGGCAATGCAGTCAAATCATTCTTTATTAAACTGGGTCCTAAGTATAAGAATTATATTCAACTAAAGTTATCGAGTGACAAGCATTTATGTTGCCCTTCTGTTTACAAAGGAAGGGGAAAGTGATTTCCACCAACTCCTTCCTCTGTCTGCAAGCCCTCTATCATATCTCACTCTGTTCTCCCCCAAAACACCTCTGGGTGCCAAGAAGTTGCAGAGGAAAGAATGAGGCAGGAGGAAAAACCCACCCAATTTCATAAACTAAGTTTGTGGAAGTGAAGTTAGGATCCGGGCCATTGTTATCGTCATCACTATCACTAAGACACTATGATTGTGTTGTCAATGTATAGTGTTGTTGTTGTTTTTTACAGGATGGCCTAACAACAAAGACATGCTCCTAGCCAAAGGAAGATTAGATTCAATAACTTTTCCATACTTCTTTCTTTCCTGCAATCTATTCCCACTGCGGAAGATTAAACGGTGCTAAAAATACATTTTAAAAATACAGTATTTTTTAAATTAAAAAACAATGGCTGTTTAAAATTTTTAAAAGGCTTGAGAAAGTCCATACAGGATACATACTGACACCTTGTGAATTCTATAGTGCCAGGAATCGGAGTTGTAGCTGTGGCAGATCCCAGTAGGTCATTCATCAAGGTGTCTATGTAAGTCACAACGTCTTGTGGGTCATCCTGGGTGATCTGCTCCCAATCTTGCTTGATCAACTCAAGGGGCCCTTTCACCCCTAAGTGTGCAGCAAACATGTCAGAGTGACCCCTTGGTAAGATCATGGGGCGATACTTTTCAGGTACCACCAGCTGACTTCTGATCCCATCTCCCCCTTTTGAGATATTCCTCAGGGTTTCTCTATATAAAATCCCCTTTTTCTCCAGAAATCTCACTGGGGTTTCAGGTGTTAGCTGGGCGTCAGTCACCTGTGACATGCTCCTAGCCAAAGGAAGATTAGATTCAATAACTTTTCCATACTTCTTTCTTTCCTGCAATCTATTCCCACTGCGGAAGATTAAACGGTGCTAAAAATACATTTTAAAAATACAGTATTTTTTAAATTAAAAAACAATGGCTGTTTAAAATTTTTAAAAGGCTTGAGAAAGTCCATACAGGATACATACTGACACCTTGTGAATTCTATAGTGCCAGGAATCAGAGTTGTAGCTAGCCTTTGTTTGGTCCTGAATCATTTTCCAATACTTCAATATTTTAGAGTGAGAAGACCAAAGAACCCTATCTGAGATAAGGGACCTCAGCCACAAACTGGGACAAGGACTGCACTTATCTTTATGGTGCAGGTATCCCAATAGCAAGCCAGAGTATAAACTATGGGATGGATTTGACAGTGCCTACTTTTTAAACAAAGCAATCTATCACGACTGCATGGAGTGCTAGCAGATCTCTCTTCCAGTTATCTTGATATGAACAACCGTCTGGTATTTTATTTCAAAACAAAGCCTCATTTGCTGAATAAAAGGATAGAATAGAAGATGGCTGAATTGTTCCTGAAAAGAACATATTTATGTTTGTTGCAAAGTTTCTAAGAGAACCAACAATTCTGCTGGTTTAGCTGGTTTTTCATTTTTGCTGTTATTGTTGTTGTTTTACCAACAGATACATCACATTTGAAAAACCTATCCTAGGAAGAAACAACTAAACACATTGTGGCATCGTAAAGGCTACCACTTATAGCTTTGCTCTAGAATGTGGGCTCCGCTGGTGCTTGTCGCCGAGTGGAGCTCCTTTGTCCTCCCCTCAGGATAGCACGAGACCTGCTATTCTCGTAGATACCTGGGGGGGGTACATCCTAAAAAGGACGCTCCCCCATGTGCTCAGCCTCTTTCGAAGCTTCCGTCTCACCTGCCCGCCCGATATCCAGTGTGAGTCTGACTGGTCATCCTATTGGGGGCTGGATAGGAAATTTTGACCCGCTACTCAATTGGCTGAAGTAGTTGTGGGAATTTTTCACCGATCCCACACTGGTATGTGGTTAACATAGTTTCATTGCTATTTAATTGTTTTAACGTTTGGTCACATGGCAGATAGAGTGGAAGGAAACTGTCCCAATGAGTGTCCATGGAGTTCAAGCAGTGCATAGCGGGTCTGAACTTTTGCTGCTGTGGATCGTGAGGTTACAGTGCTGGGAGGAAAGACCTGCTGGGGCCCTCCCCAGGCTGAGAGCCACCAAAGGCTGGGGGCTTGCATGCCTGGGGGGCTTGATATTTTCCCAGCCGGGGTCATGCTGTTTTAGCATGACAACAAGGCATGGGACTCACCCATACAGGTTGGTGAGGGAGTCCTGTGAGACCTTCAACACCAAACCTGATACCATACTACCACAGGCCCTTGGTTTCTAACCATAAGTTATGGCATGTTAATTTAATAAAGTGTGGCCCTATTTATACCCATCACCAGCGTTTCACCCCATTATTCCAGAGTGGGAAGGTAATGAGCTTTTCCTGGCTACAGTCTAGGGAAATTTGCAGAGGACCTTCTTTTTTTCAGTTCAAGAATAAGCTCACTGGCAACCACAACTGAATCCAGAGCGTGTGTGTGTGTGTGTGTGTGTGTGTGTGTTTTCCCATAGGAGGAAATGAAGCTGAATAGCAGAACACATGCTTTGCATACAAAAGAACACCCAGAAAGTACTAGTCCTGAAAGCAGTACTGGTTTCTCTTCCTCCTCTGTCATAAAAAAACTGGTTCCTCCTGTACCACCAAAACCACTTCTTTCCAGTCTGCTAGGATAGTTCTGAGTTCTCCCTCACCCCAACCCTTTGCTGGCTATATTTCAAATTCCACTGTGTTCCCCTCCAGTTCTTGCCCAAGAAGGCTAAGTAAATTGGTGTTTTATACCATTGGCCATCAAAAGCCAGTAGAGACCTGAAACAAAACGTTGCAGAGCGTAGAGTGTTCCTTTTCCATGTTTCTGCCAGTAAAAGATCTCCATCTCAATTCCATTCCCCCTCTCACTGGACTTTCCTAATAGTCATCCACGTCCACTGAACATGCTCAGTCCTCATTGAAGCTTTTTCCTAAGGGGTTTCCTCCCCTCCCTATACTTCTCCAACTTGAGAGTGAAGAATGAATGGCCAAAGACATAATGGACTTCTTTACAAATCTCTAGATTTTCCAGACAGTTAGCTCCCACCACAACCAGCGCACAACTGCACCCTGATAATGCTGCCTGCCCAAGCATTCTATCAAGCCACTTTACCAACTCCATGTTGACTGGCGACCTCTCGAACTTTAGTCCAAAAAAGTAAGTTTTCCAAACTCTGTTCTTGCTAGAAAAGTAGAGGCAGATCTTTGAGAAAGCAGAGATATCGATTGTCTTTTTCTCTACAATAGTTTGTTAGCAAATTGCTACAAACTGGAAGGGAACTTGTAATCTAACTTTTTATTCATGGAAAAACAGAATATGGCATGTTGTTCTAGTTGAAAAATTTACTCATCAGTACTTAAATAACCACACTCCCAAGGTGACTTTTTTTCAACACTGTGGTAATAAGAATGACAAGACTTATTTTCCACTAGTCTCCCATGCCAATCTTTGGTGCAATATTCTGATCTGATACAATTTACAATGGTACTATATATACTTTATACTATTTTTATACTATTTTGTACTATTAAAAGAGAAAGAGACAAGGAATATGGCAAACAGCCCCCACTGTATAGGGTTTTTTTGACATCTTTCTTCACACTTTTCCGTTGCTCAAACCTTCTTTGTTATACATAGAGAATGCAACAGATCTTTAACATGGGAATTAAGGGAAAATCTTCAGCTACTTGCTCCACAAAAGCCAGAAAACATTGGAATTTATTGTTAATTATATACTATAACACACTGAAAACAATATCCTCTAATTTCTGTGCTGCAATGGCAGTCAATATGACCCACTCTTATGTTTTATTTGCTGGCACAAGAAGTCTTAGGCTCAAGCATTAAATTAAAGTGGGAAATTTACGTGGACTTTTGCAATAATGCAATTTCATCAGGTCAACTTGGTTTAATTAATTTTAATATGCATCAACTTTGATAAACCGGTAAACTGCACGAATCAAAAACAATCTGTACTAATTCAGTTAGTTTTGGCTGGATGGTTTAATAATTAATCTTGGCGAGACAAAAGAAGCAAGCCAAGTAAATTACACAAGACCAAGCCAATGTGAGCATTTGCAGTGTTTGCAAATGCTGAAATTTTTAGCATATGCTTCAAGTTCTAAAACTTTTTGAAAAGAAAAGAAAAAGATTATCAACCGACTCATAGGATGACAGACTACTCCTCTGGGCATACAGTATATACCTGGATATTTCTGATCACCTCCTCCTGTGGGAAAACTCGCCCACTCTAAGCTACAAACTTGAGAAAGGATCCTGGAGCCTGCCATCTGTTAAAGAACAGGCTTAGAGTTCAGTTGGCTGAGATCTCAACTGACCCAGAACTTGGAAAAGTTATGCTTGGCCTATTACTCACAGCATTCTAAGAAAGGAACTTCCCTGAGCTCTGAACGTAAGCTCATCCCAGGGTACAATGGTTTTCTGAATGGGCCGTCTACCAAAGGTTAATGGAGCTCACTAATTTTGGTAAGAGGTATAGAGCCAAATAAAAGAGAAAACTGCTTTCCTTTCTTGTGTGTTCATTCTGAGCATTTCTGATGCGGCTACACTGGAGGTTCAAAGACCAAGTATGAGCAGAGTTAAATCAGACTCGGACACAAGATCTCAGATCAGATAAACATAAAACACATGACATCAATAATCAGACAAGATTACTGAAGGTTCTGTGCACTTAGGAATAACATACGGACATTGTAGACAGAGATGGAAAAATGTTTTTGTTTTGTTCTGTTGCACTCCCAGAATTCTGCTGCCAACATGGTCCCTCTTTCCCATCTCTGACTGTGGATTTTTAATTAACTGATGGATGTGGACACAATTTGCACTATTTGTGGCCCCTCCCAAAAACTGTTGAATGTGTGGAGTTCTATTTCAGGGCAGTTCTTCCCCTATATTCTTATTACCCTAAGGATGCTATCAGCTGAGGTTTTCATTGTGCTGTTTTTCAGTCTCATTGGTGTGGCTGAGGCTGCAAATACATGGTCAAATACCATGAGATTTGCTCCACTTATAAAATGGTTAAATGTTTCTATTGATCACATGACGCAAAGGCTATTTGAACCAGTCCAGTCATTTTTACTACCAAAGCCGATTTATTTTCTATGCCACTGTGGGCTTCTATCTTTTCAAGCTGGAATGATTTGAACAGGCTTTTTCCTATGTGACTGTGATACATTATTACAAAGATTGGGGGGGGGTGTTTATAGGCGACAGGCAGTTGGGGCGTGATGTTCAGGACCAGGGGAACATGCCCCCACATTCTTTCCTCTCCCCCTTTCCTCTTCCTCTCGTCATCGAGTCCAACCCCCTGCTCAGTGCAGGAATACAAATCAAAGGATATCTGCCAGGTGGTTGTCCAAATTTCTCTTGAATACCCCCAGTGTTGGAGCACTCTCCATTTGAGCAGGAGAAGTTCACAGTGCTTATGTTTCAGCAAAATGGTCAGAAGAAAGCCAGTCAGAAACAAAGGATCACTCAGTTAAAACCTGAAGAAGCATGGAATGGTTGAGGGGTGAGGGAGATTGGCTGCCTAAGTAGGAAAATGGTGGTGGGGTGGGAATCACAAGTTAGGACTGCCTAGGTAAAGCCAGAAGAAAAGCAGTTACTATAGCAACAAAGCCAACAAGTTTCCTTCTGTCTTTATGGCCTGATTTATCAGTGCATGCACAGACTGATACATGCAGCACAGTATATTCCACATTGCATGGGTACAGTAGGCAGTAAAGTACATGGTTAACTAGGCTGATTAAGAGAACTAACACCCCCCCGCCCTGCACGTTTGTACTTAAGCCAACAAAAAAGTGGGAACTTTGTGTGTGTGTGGTGGGAGGCAGAATTCATTTAAGCAGTACTCTCTTTTCTGCTTAACAGTCAACTCATGAACAGTCTGCTTTGCTGTGAAAGTGATTATGAACTAACAAAGATAACAATGGGTTTAATCACTATGAAAAACTGATCTGGCTGAAAAAAACACACACTAAAGCTGACCGGGAAGAGGAGGAGGGAGATGGCTGCTGGAAGCCCATAGGACTCCGTCCTTTTTAATCCACAGACTCTGTCCAATTCAAAATGACATATAATACAGGAAGAAATACCAGTACGGAGAGCAAAAAGGAACAACTTAAATAAAACATAAACTTGTTTCCCCATTACTGCACTTTGTTTGATGAGAAAAACAAACACAGTTCTATCACAAAACACAGGCTTGGATCTATATACATTTATACATCACTGCCCTGACAACAAACTTAATCATAGAATCATAGAAAAATGAAGTTGGAAGGGGCCTACATGGCCATCAAGTCCAGCCCCCTGCTCAATGCAGAAATACAATCAAAGCAGATCTGCCAGGCGATTATCTAAGTTTTTCTTGAATGCCTCCGGTGTTGGAGGTGCTAATGGCAGAATGACAACAGAAGAAGAGTGTGGCAACCCCAGACCTACTGGAGTATCCCACCCTATAGTTATGCTGCCACCAACCATTCCCTGTAAGGAGTCACACAGACCAGGAATGGATTTTAATAAATAAAAGAACAAGGTTTATTGAAACAACAAACAGGGTAAACAAAAGAATCAGGTAAATAGGATACTGTAACGTGGAATAGTCCCAATCACACACATACACCAGCTTGGTTCCCACAGAACACTTTAAGGTAATGCACAGACCCTGAACCTATCAGTTCTGGCTACCTAGAAAGAAACCTGAACCTATCAGGTATGTACTAACTGACAAACAGTTGTACCCAGTCTGACACACAGACTCCAACTCCTAACTCTCCACACAAGCTCCAAATATATATACAGTACAGCTCCTCCCCCCTGATGTCCCGCCTTCCACTCCCCATAGGATGGAACTTTCCCTCCAAACCCATGACAGACAGGTACCATCAGTGCTGTCTGTGACACCTCCCCTTCCATTCTTTCACCTGAAGTGGGAGCTTCACCTCCTTATAATACAGGAAGAAATACCAGTATGGAGAGCAAAAAGGAACAACTTAAATAAAACATAAACTTGTTTCTCCATTACTGCATTTTGTTCGATGAGAAAAACAAACACAGTTCTAACACAAAACACAGGCTTGGATCTATATACATTTATACATCACTGCCCTGACAACAAACTTAATCATAGAATCATAGAAAAATGAAGTTGGAAGGGGCCTACAAGGCCATCAAGTCCAACCCCCTGCTCAATGCAGGAATACAATCAAAGCAGATCTGCCAGGCGATTATCTAAGTTTTTCTTGAATGCCTCCGGTGTTGGAGGTGCTAATGGCAGAATGACAACAGAAGAAGAGGTAAAACAAAAACATGGCATGCTGAGTATTACCTGGCAAAGAAAAACAGGGGACTGGGGGAAAGAGGTGGAGTTGAGAAGGATGTGGCTTACTGGGTATAATGCTGAATGGGAGCGCTTCTGCTAGGACAGGAGCAAGAACTGCAATATTTTGTTGCAGGTCCTATTCTACAGTATTTTGCACAACTAATCAGAAAGCCACAAAAAATGAGGAAAGCAAGAAGAAAATATTGTGAACCAGAAGAGCTCGATAACTAAAATCGAAAGAGTTACTTTAAGTACCATCTTGATGGGATTTTTTAATTTCACCTCCTCAACTTGAACAAGCACACTGTCCTTGATGCACAAAGCCACAATCATAGCAAAAGTGCTTTGAAGCTCATCTTAATTTTCTTAACATTTCATTTTGTGAAATGTTAGTGAAACATAAGTGCTACAATCTGGGCATTCAGAACTAGTTGTATGGATCTCTGGATCTTTGCCTGTAAAAAAAGGCAGATGTACAGTACATAATGTAGTGGTTAATCAGACTGGCCATAAGAATACTCACAGAGAAAAGATCAAGACCTAACAGTTTGTGCTGTTTGTGCCACAGAGTGGAAAAAAAGGAAACAGTAGATTTCCAGCTGGGAAGCAAATCTCATTCCACTGACATAATGTAATTTGCAATGTATTGGGGGGAAGGAGAATCTCTTATTTATATGGCATGAGTCACAGTAAATAGAGCATCCTGTAGTTAATATATGAGTTGTGCTCAAATAGATTTGTGTCGCTTTACAAACAAGCTTAAATACCTTTTCCAGTGAATCTCTGTCAGCCAACTCCTGCACAGCCAGAAGCTTGATGCTGTAAGAAAAAGAGGGAGAGAAAAACAGAAAATATGTCATTTGAAGCAATGTGGAACTAGCTCCTGGACACCTGAAAACATTAAGCAGCAAGTTATGAAACACCGATTACAAGTTGGCCAATCCTTTACAAAAGTGTAGCCCCTGTGCCATTTATGTGAACAGTCATGAAACTGACATATCTCTGTGAACTGCAAGCAACATGCAAGAGATTCCTTCACTTATACTCATGAGGCTGCATGCTCCGTTGAAAACAGATGCAATTTCTGAAAAGTGCTTTTTACTCTTTGGCCACAATTTTACTATACCAAAACTCAGTACATAAGGGCCAAAGGAATAAAATATATACCACACTTTCGTGAATCTGGTGCCCACCAAATGTCACATCATTGGGCATGTGGGCAGCAAATGATGGGAGTTGTAATTCAAAACATTTGGAGAGCACTTGATATTTTACTATATCTGAAAGAGGGTTCCTGGAATGTTACTGTTGAAAGAACTGTCATGTAGTATCAGGTCAATGGGAGAAGCATGCCACTGTCAGCACTGACCAACTAAATGATTTTCGATAATTCAGTTCAGACAACTCTAGCTATTCATCCTGAAAATCAAGAGTCATATTCCCTTTTTCCTTTTTAAGAGAGGTGTTCCATCTCAGAGCTAACAGAGAATATGACTACAAAGAAGATTACCCAAGGTTGATGCAAACTTCTCTATGTTGCACTCTAGCATTTAAACTGCTGCCACAGTTTACACAGAAATCTTGATTATACAAGGAAGGAACGTATCAAGTGTCCACACATCATATAGCCTTCCATCTTCTTCACCCTTCTCTAACATTATCACCACTCTCTTACCCACACCATTCTCTTCTTTTTCTTTTAAAGTTTAGCAAGAGAAACAGCACTGAAAATGACATGACTTGGTAAGCACTTGAATTTGCACTGCATCTAGGAGAAAGAATGTTGTTAAAATGCAAAATACATTGTAGCCGTAGTCCTTAAGAGTATGAACAGAAGGCAGGCAAAAGGAGCAAGGTTCATTCACACATCCTACTCTGTATATCATTGATGATGTCATCTAGAAACACCCAACAACGGCCTGAAAGGATTGATATAGATTATCACTGTAGAAAAAAACAAGAGAAAAGAGCACATCCGGAAGCACTATCAAAAGACATCGAATTTTACCACATGCTGAAAGACTGAGTCTACTTGTGATTAGTGGCCATGCTGTTTTGTAAAGGGAGTAAGTATCAACAGGAACAGTGAGAAACACAACATAAACCATCTAGATGCTTTCAGACAGAGAAAATATAACCTTGTGGCACTTTAATAATGAACCCTCTTGGTGGATTGTGGCCACTTTTACAGATGCAAGTGTATCAGACATTCATACAAACAAGAGGAACTGGGAAATATGAAATGTAATGGAAATGTCATTTCATTCGATATTTCCTTCCTCGCTATGTTTATATAAACATCTGTCTATTGAGGCTACACTCCATGCATCTGAAGAAATGGCTTACGCCAGCTAAAACTTACTAGTCTTAAAATGCCATAAGAGTCTATTGTTTTTGCATGAATGTAACCTCTTTTCTTAATAGATACTTTGTTAGAAGATTAACAAGCTATGGGTCACCACTGCACCTTGTGGGCAGGTTGCATCAGCCAAAAGAAACTAAAAAAACCATGAAAAGGTGTCTGTTTCTCATTATTCTAATACTGAGCTGCATATTTCAGGAAATCTACTTCATTTCATAATAATAATAATAATGTTAATTCTGTCAACATTTTTGTAATGTGCATTGACAGATGCAACCACATGTTCCAAAATGTAGTAAAAAGGAAAGAAAAAAAAAGAATGAAGATCACTTGTTTGTTTATTCTTAAGTTTAGTCAAGCTTCTGTGTTGACTAATTGAAAGTATAAGGTTTCTAAAGAAGCATAATCACCAAGCAAGGATTTATAGCACTGCATAGTGAAGCAGAGATCAATTTATTTAAATGGGTGTGTGGCAGCCTGGCATCACTGCCTTGTGCAGAAAGCAGAACTGATTGGACATCTTCAGTGGTTTTCCTAGGACTAGCAGTACAATTGATCTAAAAATAGGAGGCAATTATTGCTGGCTGTCCAATACATTACATTTCTCCAAGGTTTTACAAAGGACTAGAAAGGTTGCCTTCTTTAAAAAATAAAAAGCACCATTACATAGCCAGCCACAGGGAAGGATCATCTGCAGAACAGGTACAGTGGACCCTTGACTTACAGACGGCTTGACTTACAGACTTTTTGAGTTACAGACTTCTCTGGCCGCAAAATTTAGATTTGACTTGCAGACTGAGATTTGACTTACAGACCAGAAAAAAACCAAAATGGAACAAAAACGGCCTATTATGGGATTAATCGGTTTTCAATGCACTGTAGGTCAATGGAGACTTGACTTACAGACTTTTTGACTTGAGAACCGCCTTCCAATACGGATTAAGTTCTCAAGTCAAGACCCCACTGTATAGTACAGAGGCCTTAGACTGAACTTGCAAACTCAAGATTCTGCCCAATTCTGAGGTGAAGAAGCAAGATCCAGAAAAACTAGCCTCAGTAGCCCAAATAAATAAATAAATAAATAAATAAATAAATAAATAAATAAATAAATTTTAAAAAATCTAAT